ACCGGTCTCAGAATAAGCTAATCTAACGGTGATAAATTTGTTTGCAATAGCCCAATACATAATCCTACATGTGTTTGCTAAATTTTGCACGCTAATTGTTACATTTGTGACTTGGACTGGGTATACGATGTAAAATAATCCAAGCATTGGTGCAAGAGCCTGATTTTGGTGCAAGAGGCTTCTGTTCTGTTTTTCATTGCCATTGTCCCAGCCCAAGGGAGTCACTGAACTTTATTCGAATTTGCGTTTTATATTGTTGAATGTTGAACCAGTTGAAGTGTTTATTTTCTGTTCATATAAATATTGATCGAATCAAATTTGCCTATGAAACAAAAATAAAAACTTTAAAAAATCATGCATTCCGGAAGACAGAAAAAAACGAAACTTTCACTGACCTGTCATTGCCTATCATGTGTAAATCATGTTCGAGTGGCAATTTTCCACATATCTCTTAAGTAACTCTCGAAATGCATGAAGTCACCATAAAAGGTGGCATAAGATAATGTACAATATCTCGACAACTTTCCGTTATGTCTGTGCGATGACACGCATATGTACATTTGCGTGGAGACGCCGGCGCAGCGGATACCTAATGCTCAGTCTCATCGGCATATAGTGACAGCAGGTACAAAGGGACGCTCCTTGCAAAAGTGCGTGGACCTCATTGGCACGCAGTGACCTTATATAAGCGCACACGCGTCGGGTCAGGCGCACCTAAATCCTGCGGGTCTGTTACTAAGGTGGTCTGGGCATTATCACGCGCTTATCGCGTGCACGCGCCACGCGCTGAATTCGAAACGTCAAGTATTTTACACGAATAGCTTAAAAGGGGATCTTCATGGACAAATATGGTGGAAAAAACATCACACCACAGTATATATTTTACCATCAAATACCTATAGGACAGTGGTCGGCAGGTCCTCCGGGGTCGTGCCCCCTTTTTTGGCGGCAGGCAGCGCCATTACCCCCGCCTACCAGACTCCATTGGTGATACAACCAAGGTTACTGAAATTCCATACTTTTCCGTGACTCTTTGGGTACCATATCTGCGAGAAACCACAGGGGGCCTCGCCCCTCTCCCCTGCGGTTTCTCAAATACCTATCTCAAAAACGTTGGCACGGAGCGCCACCATTTTGGCACATTTTATCATAGTTACATCTTTTCTGCACATGTTGTGAAAATTTCAGACCAAAGTCACTGAAGGTCAGGTCACCAGACCACGTCAAGTGACCTCATCTCGGTAAAGACTGTAACGCCTGCCGTAGCTACACAGAGCGACAGATCTCTTTTAAACTTTCAGGAATTGATAAAGGCAACAAAATGTACAAAATTTGTATCTCAGAAATTTGATGTCGGTGACCAAAGGTCAGGTCAATTTCACACCCTCTCCGGTTATCAATGGGGGAGGGTGCAAAGTCAATGGTAGAAAATTGAAAGGCGCCTCTTTTGGACGAGTGTCATTCCTAATACTGGGAAACACTGAATTACAAGTAAACATGACCACTGAACGGAAAAATTGCACCCGTAGCCCCGTTGTATATCCCTGAGGTCATTTCAGGTCATAGTGTATAACAGTTTTCGCTAAAAACAAACTTTTGATAATGGCATGCCAGAGCGATGAAAATGCCTTAGATGTGTTCAGCTCGACGATACGGATCGAATGATTTGCAACAAAACCTTCGATGCTTCTCGACGGGAGGATCAAGATGCTGATAAAAGTGAGCTCTTGCAAGTTTTGAGTGAAAAGTTACTGAAGAAAAACTGTCAGCAAACAACATATTTTGGCAGTTTTTGTCTCCTGCAGGCTAAACCGTTAATCTTAGGTTGAATCTGAGGGCAGGCATAAGAAAAAACGTTAAGAGAGCTATGGAATGCGTTTTTCCGCAGTGCTGTAGCTCTATCCTTTCCTAAGCTATAGAACAGTTTGTTGAAAATTGTCAAAGGTTGACCTGGAAATTGGCGATACTTTACGTTCGATGACCTCTGGTGAGCTGACCTTTGACTTGACCAAAAAAGTAATCATAGTTTTTTTCATCATTTCTTACGGTCTTTCGAACGCCGACTACGGCGTTTCGCTAGTGACCCAGGAGCAAAGTTAGTAGGGGGTGTTCAACCTCCACCTCCAGCAGGGCGTGGAAGTCCAGGAGCCTCAGCGGGGCGAGGATTAACCCCCCTACGTATAGGGGTAGCGGATATTTTTCGGGAATAGATCACGTTGAAAAGGTCGGATCACGAAAAAACTGTACCCACGAGCCGATCATTTTTATCTGTCCTGAAAATGACATGACCTTAACCCGAATAACCTTTGATTTGTGAGATATATCTTGAGATCATAGCAGGCCACAAAATCTCACTTCAAGAAGTTACAGCGATACCCGATTTACTCGGCATCTGTCATTGGCCTCTGGAAGGTCACCCAATGACCAAGGACCTTTAAATTTGGTAGCAGCGACTGCCTATCTTCACGGGCAACACGCTCATTTTTTTCTGCAAAGCTCCAGCTCAGAGGCCGAGATGCTCGGGTCAGGGTGCAATGGACGACTCCTCTCCCTTGTGTTAGTGACTGTGAAAACACTAATAGACGAGCGCCGGTTAATACATGACAGTTACTTTTGCACGACTGTACGGAATGGTGAGCAGCTACATGAAAATTGACATGCGTCAGCTAATCAGTTCATGCTTTGTGCGTTTGACCTCGACTAATCTTTAAATCCCATGGGGCACAACAGTTGCGATGTCTGTCCCAAGGAGTCCTTAATTCTAAAAAAAGATGAGGCTTTCTCAGAGGCCCTCATTACCCCCCGCCGAAGGGCGCCATTACCCCCAAAGGGGGCATGCCCCACCATTTGCCGACCCCTGCTATAGGACCTTCTGAGCACAACGCAGCACGTAAAAAAAATAGTAAAATTCGTCTGTGGACGGGCTGTGACCACTCCTACCAAAGCAAGGTCAGCATTGCGAAATGCGAAAGGTGGAAATCCCGCCAAGAGTACTGCTGCAGCAACCCAGATATATCTCTATTCATGCTGCTAACGTTCTGCGTTATTCCCTAAATTCTATGACTCACCGTGCTTACACAAACATGCAAACAGGTGCACGACTGTCCACAAGAAAGGCGGCGACGCTTTGACTCGCGTTTGCTACGGAAAAAGATATTTAGAAAAACAGATAGGTACATGAAACCTGTTACGGCATCATGCCCTAAACTACGCTGAATGATGGTAAGGACATACCTATTTTTCAGTTGTGACGTGGCTAGCGTATAATGCAGCCAGCTACAAAAAAAGAAATTCAGCATCGCATAAATGTATATATATATATATATATATATATATATATATATATATATATATATATATATATATATATATATATATATATATATATATATATATATATATATATATATATATATATATATATATATATATATATATATATATATATATATATATATATATATATATACCGTGCGAACTACTCTCCAGCCCAAAATAATATTTTCGCACAAATCCAGTGACGATGCAGGCTCGTAGTCGTGCCATTGTCTAAAATAAGTCATTGACTTGATCTTAATTGGACTGAATTGGCCGAACCACTCTCATCAGCCGAACCGGTTGATACAAAATTATTTCTATTTGAATATATTGTGTGATTATCATCCCAGAATTCGCTTATTCTTCAAGTGTTATTGGGTACAAATCAGCCGGCCACGGCTTCTACGGCAGCTGCATTCACTTCAGACATTATTTATATCACTGTTATTTTATGACTCACGGGCTATTTACTTACGCACCACGTTGAGGTGAAGGGTTTAGCCGTTTAGGGTGGTCGGTACTACATATGGCTCCAGTTTACCTCATACCGTGCACCCAAACTCCATAAATGGAAAACGATGAGTGTGCATTGTGACGAGCGCCGCGGAATGTTCGCGAAGGCACCAGGTAATTATTCGGCGAGTGTGCTACCAATTTCAGACTGCTTGCACGATATGATGTATCGTTGAATGTAAAAAATAACAATCCTGAGAGCTGTGAGCAATGCTCTACATCTACGAGTTACTAGGGAAAGGTTCAATGGGTTAAAGCTGATATATATTGCAGGATGTTCGCATTCAGTAGAAATGAAGCCAATGCACAAATGGTATTGATGGTCGCATGCTGTATTGCCTAATGTCTATATATATAGAAACAGATAGGGGTTTCAACTCATCTTCTTATATGTCAATATTATCAGTTCGTCAAAATAATGCCACTCAACATCAATAGTCAGAAAAGCTGATCGGAGCCAAATGACCGGTTGGCCACGGTTAGTAATTAATTAGTCTGCACCTATGTACCTACAACAAAAGTTGGCGAAAGACCGAAAGGCTATCTAGTTACATCTTAACTTAGTTCATGGGACACCGGAGCCGTTTGTGGGAATGACGCAACCCCATGATGATCATTGTGCCACGGTCCTGCAAAATTGCTACACTATATTCTTCCAGCTTTCCGATCCATTTTAACCTTGGCCTGTAAATTTTATATAACGATTGTTATTATTATATTCGTAAATGATGTTTGCCCATGGGTGACATTTTCTTGTTCCAATACTTCAAGATGAATTTGAATTGCACTTGATGCTGTTCATTCGAGGCCGACTAGTCACCATAGGTACCTACCATATTTTATGTTGCAAGATTTAATTTGTAAGTAGGCATTTATCATGCTGCTTACATAACTTGATATGACTAATAATCAGGAAGCATAGCAATGACTCCGAATTGCTCGCCGTTTTCCGCACAAAAGCCACCATTCCTAATACCAATCCCCTCTCCGCACACCGGCAAATCCAGTCACCGCCGTGACCACAACAGAGTGACGCATCCCTTTAGTCTGCACTTTGCACTCTGCAGCCTACTGGGCAGACAAGAGTGAGTCTCGTCCATCCAGTCAGTGACGTCATCGTGCGTGCCCGGGCGCCGCGCGGGGATGACGGTCAGCGGGGAGGGGAGGGGAGGGTGGGGAGGGCCGGGGGCGGAGCCTGCGGCGCGCGGCTCGCACCGGGCCGACATAGGAGCGCCGGCAGACGGGTAGCTATACCTGCGGCAGATCTTCGCCAGCAGCGGCGGTGAGCGCACCAGGCACCGACAGCCGGCCACACTTACGACAGTACGCGGTTCGACACGCGCCAGAGATGGACCTTCCGCCCGCCTACGGGGTGAGTGTTACATGGGTGGGCGCATGGGGATGGAGTTTGCGGCAGCGGATATAACGGGAGGTGGGTGAAAAGAGAAAGTACGCGTGATTCTGCGGTCAATTTGGGGCTTGGCGAAAGCTGAAATGAGAGTTGTTGAGATGGTTTGCGTGTTTGACCCGTGTTGTCATGCGTGTTTGACCCGTGTTGTCAAGACATATTTGTATAGAAAATGAACGACTTTGATTTCAACATTTGGGTTTTGTGCTAGGTCACACAACTTATGATTACCGGTAAGACTTGGGAAACCATCTATCGTGTTGTGGACACAAGTTTCCCTGCCCCCTCCCCCCCCCCCCCCAGTGAATGCCGACTGGCGCATGGTGGCCTTATGCCTATAGCTTTTAACCTTGACGTAACACAGTCGCTACGAATACATACTATGCTGTCCGCGATCTGAACGTATCGCAACCAACTTGAAAACTGTCTCAGCTCGCTGCTTACAAATTCAATAGTAGCGTGACTGCCTGGAATTCATGAATGCTGAACCATTCGCTAGGGTAGGAATAGGTACGAGGTTATGAACATTGAATAGCTACAATGCTGCTAGACTTCCATCGAATGTAGCGGCACGTCACATGCATCGTTTTAATCCTCGGGACATCCCGTCTTGCTATCTCTGACGTGGATGTGGAGACTGGAGAGGTCATCCTGTCAACCGGACTTTGGTATGCAGGCTGACGTGCTGGCTTTTCGCGATCCGACCGTTCTCGGTAAGCCAACCAGGAACTGGATTACCGGTAACTAGAATTGAATTTTCACTTCTCACCATAAAGGCAGTCATAAAATGAAGCATTTTTCCATCTTTAGGGGCTTCTCGTCAGTCACCCAGTGTCTTTGGCAGACTTCTAGCTTCTAAAATATATCTATAGCGACTGACAGACTAGAGTTCGGCACATGACTATCTAATAAGTAAGAACGTCTACTCTTTATGCGAATGCCTCATGTCTGCATGCATAATTCAGGGTTGCTGCTTGCCTCAGATCAAGCTTATGAAAAGTCTGATGGAGTCGGAGTTCAGTGCGGGGTGTGTTTCCTATATCTAGACTTTCAATGATCTGTGCTAAGTACATACCTACTTAAGTAATAAGTACCTATGTAGTTATGTCTATTGTATACCTACCTATTACCTATAGATCGTCATTGGATGTACGTTATAGCGATGATCTCTCGGCTCTATCTGTAACGCTAGCATGAATACAGATGTTCAACTCCGGATAGACTGAAAACTACACGTGCTGACGCTACAATGCAGAAACTTGGAATACCTATAGCAGATACATTTCATAAAAGTTAACTGATAAATTTGTGGATTTCGCTTGATGTAGGCATCCTCGTGGCTGTCAAGTATCGCTATCGTCGAGCAATCAAGAAACTATGAGAAAATAACAAGGGGAGAGAAACTGCCAAAAATAGTATTCGCGTCCAATTAGGTATGGCGACGTTCTGTTACGTAATGACGCAACTGCTATCATAATCCCATTCGTTATTTCTTAAAGGTTATTTATTACAAAGATTAATTGCAAAGACACATAACCAATTAGCTATTGAAATATGCTAAGCTACAATTTACACCGCCTATGCCAACTATGCGAATTATCGTTTGCAAAAAAAATGCGGAAGTGCCAAAGAACCAACGTTAGATAGGTCGGGGAACTATTTCGCGCGTTTCATCGTAGGGGAGAGTGGGGTAAGATGCCCAGGGTGGGAAAGACGCCCCACCCCCTCTAGCGGGGAAACAAAGAATCGAACCTGGAAATTAATGCTCTTAGCGTAAAGCGGAAGCCTGCCTTGTTAACTGCACAAAAATTTGCGAAGCTCTGTTGGGCAACGGCTGGCTGGTGATTGCATGTTTTTTATTTGCTGCTTTCAAAAAATATTTTGGCGTCAAAACATTGTAAATATCAAAGAAGGTAGCTAATTTTTGCGTCCCTTGCTATAGTCGTGATACATTAACATGCATGTACTGTGTCCCAAACAGTTTGTTTCAGGGTGTAGTTTTATGGCTAACAAATGGTGCTGATTTAATGTTACTTCGGTACCTTGGGGTAAGATGCCCCCTGTCCTGATGGGGAAAGACGCCCCCCTAAATCCGTAGGCTGTCCTCCAAGCAGCCCGTCAAATCATTTATTACATACTTGTGATGAGAGACAAAAGCCGATCTGGGACTATTGAGAGTCCAGTACGGTCGGGTGCTCCCCATGCCGGTCTTTCGGCCCGCACAGCGACTTTTTGGGCGGCACCTGACTCTGAGAGCCCTCACGACGGCCTCTGTGGGCCCCATTATTGGTTCCAGGGCCCCTCACGACATTCTTTGAGGGCTCCCACGTTGGCTCCACGTTCCGCGCTGGCATCTGAGGTCCCCACGATGGACTCGAGGGCCCTCAAGCATCATAAAGACCTATAAGGGCCCACAGTGGTCTCCGAACGCCACCACGGAGGCTTGTTTGGCCACGCTGGACTATGATGGCCCTAACGATGACCTCTGAAGCCCCTTACAACTACTTTTGAGGGCCCTCACGATGACGTTTGGTGTCTACTGCAGGCTCGAATGGACTACTGATTCTTTCAGGCGGTTTACGTGCCTATTTATGTCACTTATAGTGCAGGGGGCATCTTACCCAACCCCAGGGGGCGTCTTTCCCACCCTGTGGGGTAAGATGCCCCCTTTCACTTCTTCAGGAAAATGCTTAAAGGGACCATCCCACCTTAACATTAGTTTTGAGTTGAGATAGCCAAGTTTGCGGCCAGGCTCAGAAATCACCATTTATCCTGGTCGCAACCCCCGCAGCTTTATGGTGTTCAAGAAATTTCTTCCCTTTACTTGCAGGGTGGGACCAGCTTAGTCCCTATCTCTTAACCATTAGCGGTTTCTTTGATGACGTCAGCAGTCATTTCAACGCCCGCCATTCCTTGAACCCGAATTTTACTGACCTTGAGCTCCCTTTTTTATCAACGTGTCCGTCGTCGGCGCTGAGAAAGCCTATTGATTTTCATTTTAATTTGAATATTAGAAGATACCCACCACTGGAACTTGGACTGATATTATACCAAGGCCGAAGATGATCAAGCTGCCTGCTATATCTGGAGCTTGGTGTTCAACTTCAACATGGAATAAAAAACAAAATATCAAAGCAAACTGGATATGGTAGTGCAAGTTAAAGTCCAAAGAAATTTGAAGAGCTGACAATTGACATTAATTCTTTTCCTGCAAGGTTTCCATATGGAGATCACACCATGAAGAAATATTTTTGATGTTAACAGTTGAAAGGGGATTGATCTTCTGGTTTTGACGAAAGACGCTGCTGTCTTTGGAAAAGAATGTCGGCATGAGGTGCAATTGTGCTTGTGAAGTGGTTATAACTGGTCTTTTCACAGTATTAAATTAAATGTGCCATTGCAGCCAAGTGTGTTATCATGTAAGGTAAAATCAAAACTACAATGTTGGTTTTATGAGCATTGAGAAGGCTGGTAGGTAACACCTGCCCGTGCTCGTAAATCATGCTGCCAAAGTATTCTAAATTAATTTAATCATACGCTTTTGTTGTCCAGAATGGTTGCACTATTGTTTGGTATCATATTATTCCATGTAAAAATGGTAGTGTAAAGTCCGACCAACATGTTACCAGATTTGAAGCTGTTAGTTACCTAAGTACCTGTTTTTTACTGGCGTGGTGAATGTCACCTGGATTTTGTTTTGAGGTGCAGACCTAGTAACTCTGACTACATGGGTTTGAAGCTATTACCTATTCTGTTTTTACTGGCCTGGTGAATGGCGACTGATGTTGTCTGTGGATGGCACTGAAACAAATTTTGAGTGTCATGTACAGTGTTTTAATACAATGCTGAGGGCTGAAAGTTGTCTTGTTTAGAGTGGTGAAAGTTCAGGATATGCCAGCCACCATGGTGGGTCAGAGTTAATGTGTTGCAGTCAGTTCGGCTTCAGCAAGCACACGGATGGGCATACGCATCAAGACCTGCTCTGCCATACTTTCAGCCAATTTTACCTAGGTAAGTCTTTTCTTTTTTTCTGCCAAAAGCTATGACATTGTGAATTTCAGTGCTGTGGCCTGTGTGTAGCTTTCAGGAAAGCAATTCTAAATAAAGCTCTGATAAAGTGCAAAATCAGCAATGCAGCCCTCTATTACATTTTCTACAACATCTTACTTGTTCCTTGCATGGAGAGAAAAATGCAATGCTATGAATTCGTTTATTCACATAATTTGACAAGTGACATGCAGTTACCTGCTACTATCACTGCACAAAACAGAGCAGAAAACATCAGTTGATCCAACACAAGACACAACAGAAGTTTACAACATAGGGCTGCCGAACCTGCTTCCTCCCACCACAGTTGATGCCATTTCCTAGCCTGGCTTGCTGTGAGCACTGAATAGCTGCTTCGTCTAATTACAGCTCACTACCATTCAACTTAAACTACTCTCTTTAAAGTAAGAGTGAGAGCGTTCAGTGTTCATAGCAGCTCGACAGACGACAGACAACAAACATCTTGACGAACCAACCAGTATTTGATTTGGCTAATGATTTACGTGCTTGTTGTATCATGGCCAAACTACTTTAACAGCAATAATCCTTGTTTCATCTTGATCTTGCTTTTATTTCCATTTGAACTCAGATCTTGAAACAATCATCTGAAGTGATATCAGATACTGGCTTCTGTTTCTCTTGAAAGCAAGTTAAAACAACAATGATAAACTAAGGCAGGAGATGTGAGTTGTGGCAGTAGATCTTTGATTCAACAATGTCAACCTTATATTGCTTGAGACCTCTGTGACAAACAAATATTTATAGTTTTTTGATAGTTTGGATTCTTGGCTTGATTCAGCAGATCAGCTGTGAACCTTGACTTTGAAATCACATAAATGTCATGGTACCCGAACGAATCCTCGCATGACATTTCTTCGTAGCACAATTTTTCGTCCGCATTTCTTCGTCTACAAATC